CGACTTGGGACCAGTCCGCGATCTACCGGTCGATCGCGATCGACGCAATGAGCACCCCTGCTCAAGGCACTTCCTTTGGCTCCTCTCAGCTCCTGGAAGACCGAGCTGCGACCCGTACAACCTGCCCAGTCCGAATTTTTAATTGTGTCCCAATATAAATGCTATTTACTAATATTTGAAAAGTCCCTTACTCGAGCGTGGCGCTTGGAATCTATTGCCTTGGCAGACGCTTACTTGAGTGAACCGACTTATAAATATTCCCAAACTGTTTATGCTAAGACTGATTTGAGATCAAAAGCAGACCCAAATATTTTGAGATTGGCAAGGACATGAATGAAGGCAGAAAAAGTAGCGCAAACTGACAGGAACTTAAAGCTATCTGGGACAATAGCGCAATGAATAAAACAAAATGCACATCATACACTATACAAGTGCTTTGATGATGCCTTGCCGGAGCTCCTGTCAGGTCTCTTGCCGTGTTCTCTCTCCAAATCATGTTTTGTGCTGTTATTTCAAAATCCGTGACTATATCCAAGAGTGCTAACATTTACTCATGCTTGCGTAGGATGACCATCTGAAGATCTTGATCTCATTTCCTGGTTCCACGTGTGTCTCTTTCCCCAGCAGAAAATCTACTTTGAAACATGCTAATTAGGAAATTAGTCATTGGGGTGACAGTGATCAACCCACCCATTTGTAATCGAGAACGAGTGTAAGCAATTTACTCGACTCTTTCCAGGTCTGTTGCTCACCCCTCATTGGGTAGCGATGGGCTCTGTGAGTCATTTGTAGCCATGCATGTCTGGTTTCATATTTCCTCCCCCATTAGGCCCGGCGTGCCTCTCCTCTGTGTTGTGATAGGCCATAATGACTCACTGGAAGTCTGCCTGGTGTTTATCAAATGTCTCCGTGCAGGGCTGGTGGTCCAATCAGGGTGTGTGTGTGTGTGTGTGTTTTATTTTTCTTTACCCGCTTGTGAAATGGTGGATAAACAGCGAAGGCTAGCAAAGAGCTCATCAAGAATAACAAAGAAGGCAAAACTAGGTTAAGCTCCCCGCCCATAATGTCAACTACACATCACAAAGGATTAAAAAAAAAAATACATACTGTCCACGCTACTCACAAAAAGTTTGGTCTGTGTGGCTTTCAGGTGAAATTTATGGAAAATGTCAAACGTTCACGTTGCAGCGATATATCATGAAAGGAGGACATTTAAGTAGAAGGATGCGCTGGCCATTTCCTCATCTCAAACAATTCATTGAAACAAAAGTTAATAAGAATGGTGGGTACGCCACAACAAAAAAATGTCAACGTCTCAATCACTCGTTATGTGCCCTTGGGCATCAATTAGAGCTTGATGTCGTCTCAAGCTGTTTACAAATCTTCCTTTACGTCATGGAGGTTCTGGTGTGCAGCATTTCGAGCCTGTGCAGGGCGACTCAGAACGTCCCGTTTGAAACATCACAGTGGCAAGGTACTGTCGATCCATTGTCAGTTATCGTGTTGGTCTCATGATGTCAAAATGCAAACGGGCATGATGTTTAAACACCAGCTCTAATTGAACCAGAACATTTATTGGTCGGTTCAAATATAAAAAAAACCATCTTTGAATGAATGTTGCCGTTAAGCTCCTTGTTAGAGAACAGCAACTTGTGAAAAAAATTACTGAAACATTTAACCGTTGGGCATGTGCATTCAAAAGCTTGGAGAAAGTCACATTAAGTTCACCCGTCAAGGTTTGAATGCATTTTAGGCTTTCACCTGAAAGCGATAATATCCCCAACTTTTTGTGAGTTTTGTGTGTGTGTGTGTGTGTGTGTGTGTGTGTGTGTGTGTGTGTGTGTGTGTGTGTGTGTGTGTGTGTGTGTATAATCAGAAGTTTACTTTTTTGAGTGGTAATAGCATAATGGCAGATGTCTACAGAGATATTTATTTGTGAGTTCATTATTATTTAACAAAATATATATTTTCAGCAGAATGGGATCATCTCTTCCTGGATGATCTAAACGGCTGTTTCAATGCCAGCGTTTTACTGAAAAGAATATTATCTAGCGGAGGTCTGTGGGGAGGCAGCTCACAACAACCCTTAGCTGATGTTTTTTGTTTTTTTTTCCCGGACCACAAATGATCCATCCATCCATCCATCCATTTTGTACTGCTAATCCTTGATGAGTCTAAATAAGCAGTGCCTATGCTGATTGCAGCCAAGTCGCGCACAGTTTGGTCTCCGTTGTTCCAAGACACAGTTTATTAACAATCGGTTGCGCACACTCCCTATAGTTTATGGGGTCCTTTTAACAGTATGTGGAAATGAAAGCCGGGGATGGATGATGGTAATTGGCAGGCAGACAATTTTTTTGTGAATTCCTGTGCCAGGGTCCTCTCATTGTTTCGGGGGGAGTGCAAGGAAAAAAAGTCTTCCTGTATTCCAAATTGTTTGAATGAATGCTCTAAATTGCTAATAACCGTTGTTTCAGACGATATTAATTTCATCATCAAATTAGTAATTACACTGCGGGAACGAAATGACCGTCTGAAGACAAATGGAGACTTTGAACTATAAACTGTAGTTACTCATTTTACATTTTAATGAAACTGCTCAAATTACATCCATCCATCCGTTGCAGTGAGATGGAGGCTGCAAGTCCCCGCTGACTTCAGGCGAAAGGCGGACGACATCCTGGACTGGTTACCAGTCAATGAGAGGGCACATATAAATACTGTATGATCGATGTTTTATGATGGTGACAATTTCCCCTAGGAGCATGTTTCCTTTATTTCAGAGGCCTGAATATAGTGGAACTTCTGAATTAAAGAAAAAAAAAAAGAAAACCAAGTCACATTTTAATTGAATTGGTCTCGGTATAAAAAGCCGTTAACCGACATAAAAGTAAAACCAAGCAAAAAATGCGGTAGTGCACTTGAATGATTGATTACATCGTGTAAAAATGAAAGGCTATGTATGCTAATGTGAAATGTTTCTAATTTGCAAGTGGTTATTTGTTCCTGTATGTTAGCCCATCTATTAGCTTAAAAAGTAGCTTAATATGCTAATATTAACTTGCTAGCTTGTAAGCTCCACGTGGACCGTACATACGATGATGAAGCTTAGTTTAGCATTTACCATAGCCGTTGCAAAACCTTTGTAATGCTATTTGAGTTCCTCAACTAAATCTCCTCTGTTGTTGGCCTTTTTCACGATAAGTCAAAAACCGGGGCACATTTTCAAATAACTCAGCGCTGTCTCCATTAGTTGCCGGCTACGTCGTCTGTTTGAACAATAAACATGTCCCAGTTTACTATCAGGATATATTATCGTTCACACTAAGACAAACGTTTAAGTGCTGAGCCCGTTTGAACTCGGCCGCTAACGACGAGGCACGGCAGTCTCTCAGATGTATTAAATTGTCGAGTCTTAATGCATGTTGTGCAGATGCGAAGTTATTGGTGTCCTTCCATTAAAAAATAAAAAAAATACATTGCACAAGGGTCACAAAAAATAATAAACTGAGGAGACGAGAATGTACTAAAAGCTCCTAGAAGACTGTCCTTTGGATGTACGATCTTTTAGTAACGCAGCACGTCAGCTGTATGTTTACAAAAAAATGAAAAACAAAGCAAAGCTAACACTACCCACGATAAAACATGAAGGTGGCTGGGGTAGGTTCTTGGGCTGCTTTGCTCCATCCAGCACGTGGGTACGATGCAAACTTAAAGACGAGCAAGATGCATCTTTTACCTTTTTGTTACACTCCTACAAAGAATTAACCATCTCTACTTTGCACTCACTGGTCATTTGCTTGATAGGAAACGCGCAAGAAACACCGGTTCATCATTTTCTTCCTCATTGGAATGACCATTAACATTTACTAATGTGCTGTAATTATTGTTATCTATTCTGGACCTGCTTTAATTCAAAACCCAAGCTCAGTCTAATCGGCTTAATAAAGACGAAAATGTCAGTGTTGGAGCAGCATGTCCTCCTCTAACTTGAGAGAGGAGGAGAAGGCGACACAGATCGTCTTTGATCAAATCCACTTTTATCATTCCTACCGCCGCGTTTTCTACTCTCGCGCAATCATTGGCAAAGAGAAAGTATCGGAGCTGTTTGGTCACGATCTGAGGGCCTGAATCAAGCGTGTAAATCTATCTCGCTGGATTGAGGCAGGGGGAAAAAAAAAATATACACCCTTCCTTGAGGAATTCAAAATCCTGCTGTTTTCCAACACTACGTACCTCCCTCCACCCAAATATTCTGGCTCCATCCTCTCCTACCACCCTTTCCCTCTTGCTCTGCCGGCCTTGCCTCAAATTTCATGCATCATCTGTTAATTTCTGGGAAACGCCAGAGACAAAACAGTTCATCCAGCCAAAGGAAACAAAAGCGATTCAGGGCATTAACACGGTAACTGCTGTTGTGTGCTCCGTGTATTATCATAAAGGCTATGACAAACATTTCACGGTTGACTTTGTAAGTCAGCACTACACTGTTCACTGATTTTTGATCAAAGTGCTGCGATGAGCGCCACAAAAATACTCTTTCTGATTAGCGCTGCTTTCGGTGAACAATACGACCAATCCCTGGCGGTTGGTGTATATTACCACTCAAATCATTTAGCAAAAAATGCCTCGACATAAAACATAGCATTTCCATCCAAGGCAACGGGTCCTCCAGATAGTTTCTAGTTTTTTTGTTTTTTTTTTTGGTCCACAGGTCAAGTTTTTCCATTTCAAGAGTCAAGTCTCAATTCCCTGCCCTTAATTCTTAATGTTTCATCTGATCAATATTCATGATTGAACTGCCCAATGTCTGTATAATGAGACTCCCATGAAATTTCTATTCTTTATTGCCGGATTTGAATGAGAAATCAGAAAATGCTGCAGGGAGTTTTTCATCATCATAAAAAAAAAAAAAAAAAAAAAAAACCTGACAGTATTTCATTAGAAATATGTATGCTATTTTAATCAGCTCTCTGCTGCCTTACAGAAAACCGTGAAGTCGAAAAATGCGCAATCACTGTCCAGAGACGCACACGAGAGCACAATACGAACTATATCTGTTTGGTTAAGTTTTGGGTTTTTGTTGCATGGAAATTGTCTTTTCATGAACATGGTCACGCCGGTTTCATTTTCGCTTTATTTTGGGCGTTTTGTTTCTCTGCGTTTGCATTTTCTCTTTGTCTCCAAAGGGCTGTGAGTTTCAAGGGGCGCTGAGTCCTGGAGGCCTAAAAGGGAACTACGGATGCTGGAACGTTACCTCTCGGTCCGTCACATTCTGACATACTGTGACATTTTTTTGCACTGCCCTGTCAACATTTTGACAGTTGAAAAAAAAAATGTGGGCCCGGCACCCACGGCAATCACCACCTGTGATGTTTGTCCACACGTTCTCCGAGTGGATTCCGGTGGCCTAAAATAATGTAAATAAAATAACGTATGCATATGTAATTGTTTTGCGTACCAAAATGAATCAAAGTCAAACTAGACTGGAAAAAGATTCCTTTCTGATGTGGCTTTTCAAGTTCAGTCTCCAAAGAAGATCTGATGTTCTTGTTTCGTTGTCATATGGCTTTTGTTTTTGTTCCCCTTTGTTCTGCTCCTACCGCCTTTCTCCAGATGCTGAGTTTATGCGACTAGCTCATCCAGACGCTGTTAATCCAGTAAACTACAATCAAAATATCCGCCTCATCTCTCTCGTACAAATAAAAGTGGCCTAAATGTAATTTCTATTTTCTTTTATATGTCTGTCAAGGGTGGCCTTTCCCTTGTTATTATTTTGGTTGCTGCGATTCCTTTACTGGTTTTGGCTTCAATGCACCGGTCCGTCGAGATGGTCCTTGAATTTTGAAAACTATTAATTCCAGCATTATCCACAGTTATGTTTTGTTGTCAGTTTCTATCAAACTGAACAGCCAAAACCTGAAACTTTTTAGTTGGGACATGCCCAAGCATCAAGAAAAAAAAAACAACATATGCAATTTAACAACAACAACAACAAAAAAACCCACACACACCCTGTAAAAAATGATCAAAGGACAGATTTTGTTCCAGGCAGTTGGTTCACTTGCATCCAGTAGGGGGAATCGACTGCTCGCTCTGCAGCCATCTGCCTCTCAATCTCCAGCCCTCTCCTCGTCTCCCATGCATATTCCCGGGTTGTGGAAACGCTGCAGCCCAATGGTCTGCGTCTGCTTGGCTGCTTTAAGACCCTCCTACCAGCTGGGCTGAAAAAAAGAGGCGGCACTGTGCTTGCAAGCCTTGGACGAGCCCCCTTTTACCGCCCTGTCAGTGTTGAGGAGAAGGGAAGAAAGAGAGAGAGAGAAGGAGAGAGAGCGAGAGATCAAGAGAGCGCATGCGAGAGAGCAACTCTGTGACAGAGGCAAAGAGAACCAAACAGGCTGCTTAGAGAAGTGAGAGAGCAGAAAGGAGGAAATAAGGAACGTACACGACCCGAGCAGGAAGAGGGAGGAACGCAGACGAGGGACCCTTTCTCTTCTCTGCCACAAGGGGCACAGTCGCTACTTTTATCCACTTGACTTCTCGATGAAACCCAGTGGACTGGACTAACCAATTAGCGGATTTGTACGACCCGTTTGTGCTGCATCCTTCGGAAACTGGCGCATCCGTTGCGCTTTCTGCTTGCGCAAAGTGAGAGGACTGACTGTCTGTTTCTGCGCTCGCCTCTTCGCGTGCGCCGCTCCGTGCGCAAAGTGCATCTGTCGGCAATCGGTGCTGAGGACGTCTCCCCTCTGTCATACAAGACACCGTTGGATCAGGCTACAGAGTGGAGAGGCAGAGCGTGTGTGTGTATGTGTGTGTGAGTGTGTGTGCGAGTGTGTGTGTGTGTGTGTGTGAGAGAGAGAGAGAGACCGTTTGAATCAGTGTGTGCATGAGGCAGAGGCAAAAGTGATCCAGTTTGAATAGAGAAGGGAACCCATACTTCCTCTCCCTGTGTTCCTTTTGCCATTCCTTTCCTCCTCTCTTTTTTCCTCCCGTTCCTCTCCCACTCTCCAAACATTCACAGGACCGCTCAGCTTCTCTTTGCAACTTCTCTTCCCTCCCCATCCTCTCTACCTCTCCCCCTTTTTTTTGTCACACCTTGATCCGACGCCCGCGGCGGACGAGCGCGCCGCACTTGGAATCGGGAACTTGAGGGAATATTTCCTTTTTTCATCCGGCAACGAGAGAGAGAGACCGAGGCGACAAGTCCGCCTTGTTCGTGGAGCTCCAGACCACATTGAGACATTAGCGTCTTTTCCCAGCTGTTGTTGCAGCACGCGGACACTTCCCCTTCCCCTCTTGTGGAGCCACGAGTGACAGCTGTGTGGACAAGGAAGAAAGGATCCCTACGAGCGTTCCACTCCTCCACTATCCACCCCCGGTGTCACCATTCCCTGCCTCAGTGCTAAGGATTCCAGCTACATGGGCAAGCGATTGGAGCAGCAGCCAATGTACCCTCAGTACACCTACTACTACCCCAATTATCTCCAGACTAAGGTACGCCACTCCTCTCGCATTACTCAAGCATGCTCCCACGCTCCTACCCTGTCTGACTCCCCCCCCCCACCCCCCGCTCCCCGAGTAGAGATGGCACTTGATTGATAGCCGGCCTTGGTCATGATGGCTTCATGGGACAGATACCTTGTTGGACTTTGGATATCTATATCAGTATGTGCACGTGTGTGTGTGTGTGTGTGTGTGTGTGTGTGTGTGTGTGTGTGTGTGTGTGTGTCAGGGATCATGGCCGAATGCTGCGATCCGTTTGGCCAGCCTTCAGCATTTTTACTGGGAGCAACACAATAACCTTCGTGCATTGCTCCTCTATCCATCACCGAGCCAACAAAATATCACCAGATCTGAATAGAACATAAAAAGGACTTGCACTTGGAATTAAAATGGTTGAGATCACCAGCTGATTTCCTGGTAAGGCCTTTAAGTAAGTGTACATCATGATCTTTAAGAGACACACACACACACACACACACACACACACACACACACACACACACAAAAAAAGCCTGTCTCATTGTAGTTCTTTGTACATTTGTTGGGTATTGCATCAGTACGATTAGAATTGAGAACCAGGCTAGGACAATAGTGACTATGCTAGTTTATAGTTTCATGATTGCACTTGGCATCGCATTGGGATGTGTGCAGTTGTCTGTTGATAGATATTGTTAATATGCCGTCACTTGCTATTTTAGTCCTTTTGTGTTTTGCGGTTCTGATATTTTAGAATCAATCAATGAGCGCCTAATGAAACTGTGGCTTTGAACATCCATATTCTTTGTTGAATGACCTAAATGTGTCCAAAACTGGAACGTGTGAAACAAATATAGCCTTGGTTTTTCTTGTTGGCGCGTTCTCATTTTGCAATGGAAAGGGTTTCTATCTTTGGACGTTAGCGTTACAATGACGGATGCACATTTTGACAATACCCTTGATCAACGATGAGGAAAATTAATGTTTCATGAACTCCCCTTTTCCCGCCGTAGTTGTCACCGAACAATCCTGCCTGAAGCAGTTGAGTTACGGCCGAGGTCCGTGCAAATGAATTACCATCGCTCTTGTTCTTCTTTTCATCTCAAACTAGTTGCGACCTGCACACTCGAGCCACACGTCTATCGGCTCAGAAACAAAGGGACTGCGCGCTTCGGTTTCTTGTCACGGGAAGCTTGAGGTGCTTGCGTGTGACACGGCTGACGTGCGAAATGGTCACTTTCGGGATGTAGGTCATCATAGTTTCTCGATGAGCCCTTTATTCATTGTTCTCACAAGGAGGAGCCATGTGAGATGTCTCAATCATATCAGAGTTTGTATTTGGGGGGGGGGGGGGGGGGGGGGGGGTAAGGGGGTTTCAGTATCTCCCCCCAATGACACTTCGACATGGTCACAATGACCCCGGGGGGATGGAACACCCCAACCAACCTGTCGGTTGGGAGTCGACCATTCTACCACTGAGCCATGCCTCGAGGAAGCAATAAGAGCAGCGATGTAAGAAGAATGCTATCTATCGGTGTACGGTGTGCTTCCAGCAGGGTAGACCTGGACTGCAGCCCCACCTGGCACTTCCCCAGCACTCCCTTCTGATTTATAGTTTAATACATTTGCGCCGCCGCCATATGGCTTCCCTCTCCATCCCCTGCTCCTTCCATCATCCGCCTCTGCCTCCCTCCCCTACTTCGCCTATCTGAGAGCTGCTCATCTCGGTGGCGTCTCAGTCAGGGTATGCCCCTCCCCCCCACCCGACCCCCCAACCCTTTCCTCAATCTCCTTCCCTCCCTCTCTTCCTCTTGTTTCGCCGCTCGCTCTCTTCCTCCTCCCTCATCCGCTCCACACTCTTGCAACAGGGGCTCCATCCAACCCACCGCCTCCTCTGCCGATGCCGCAGTTCACTCCCAAGGTCACTGGAGATCCGATCTCGCCACCGTCAGCGATTGATTTATCCTTGACTCGAGTCATGTGCCGTGCAAATAAGACCTACGGGCCAGCAAAACACACAATTCTATTTATAAATCACCATACGCCAACATCCGTAATAATTTCCCTTCTTAGTCGGTCGACCCAGTAGGTCGGTTTGACATCGCCACGGGGATTAGGAAAATCTGGCAGGCTGTGTTGGACAATGTCGCATGGGTGGCTCAACGGTAACACCGTGACAGAAAAGGGGAGAAGGGGCCAAAGTTGGCAGGTCCACCGTAAACAGTCATCAAAATTGCATGGCGCAGTATTTTGCGCGCACACACACGTATCCACACGAGTTGATTTATTTTTCGTCATCAAATTTGTTCGGGCGTCATTTGAGCAAGTTTGCACCATGGGCATGTAAAACATCAGTTAAGCGCTGCTAATGGGGAACGAAAATGTAAAAGGTGGGTCACAGGTGCGTCCGCGTCATCGCACTTGTTCATATACACACACGTCAAAACAAGTTAATCATGGTGGTGGGGGTGGGGGGGAATAAAGCATTGCATGTCATGTTCGATATCAAGTGAAAATGCCAGTCATCCTGCTTTGAATGGGAATTTGCATATCTCACGTCTGCATTCTTCTTTTCTCGCACTCTTTATTGCAACGGCCTGATTGAGGCATTCGTTTCTGTTGGAGTACATTAAAATTTAAAAAAAGCAGAAGAAAAGCCAAACAGTTTGTCTTGGCAGTTCAGAATTTGATGCGCACCAACCTGCGGCCTTGTGAGGTCGATTTTGTGCGACTTGTGAGGCCATTTTGTTGTTGTCGTCGTTCGTGGGTGTTCAGCGCAGTTAAAAATTTGCTTTGCCTTCACTGCTGCATTCCTACGGTATAGCCTCATACTCCCAAGATGTGGGTGGGGAGCGCGGGGGG